AGTTGTCGGAGGCATGGCCCACGACTCCACATAGAGCACAAGTTTTCCGGCAACGACAGCTTTGCGAGCCGTGGCCATATCTCTGACATTGGAAGCAACGGCGGGGGTTGGGAATATATGGCCTCACGGATGTCTTTGTATACCCAGTCTGAATGGTTTCCGGCAAATCGCTCGAAGCAAAGGTCAGTACTAAGTGTTTGGTTGGTATTTCTTTTTGATCTCTTCTTATCTTAATACGCTGTACGTTTGTCACGTTCTGGCTCTTCCATCCTTCCAGAAGTTCAGCTTCGGTCAGGTCAAGCAAATCTGCGTCCGATACGACCCCGCGAGATGAGTTCATGGACCTGTGTGGCGTAATACTGATGGGTGTGTCTCCAAACGTTGTGAGGGTGTTAAGTTTATCGAATTGGTCTTTGTCACGTATCTCAAGAAGTAGATCTCCGCTGGCCATTTTGGTAACCTTGTACCCAGCACCGAGAGTTTCGGTTAAGCATCTAGCCACTATGAAGGGGGATACAGTTCTGGCTTGCTTGTTAGTTTTTTCACAGTGTATAACGTGGAAACGAGGAAACAATTGTCTTGGCCGGATGAAAAAATTGATGTCTTCGGTGCGTACCCGCTTTGAGAAGGCACGATCACTAAGTAAAGGAAATGCTTTCTGCATATGCTAATTGTATGTTGTTCAGCAGCGTTGGCGGCCACCCACCACGGAGCCCAACGAGGGGACGCTGCAAGTTTGCGGATGCTAAAAGCTTGCAGACGTCAGCCGTACAACCCTGCTATAACCCAATGCGCATAGGCCAAGGTAGGCTATTTGCACAGGGTTAACCCTTGCCGCCGAGAAAATTGGAAGTAAGCAGAAGAGAGAAGTAGACAGGAAAGCTAAAAAAGTAAGAAAGACGAAAATGTAGGGAGAGAGAGATAGGAAAAGGCGACTACCGATTTCCCCTGGGTAGGTCAGCCCAGGGGTGCCGTCTACGTGAAGCCGGGGCCAAAGGGGTGTGTTGCCTCTGCCGGGGGGCCTTAAAGGTCCAATCACCCAGCGTCGGCTCAACCTGCAGGATCCCCTTTTCCCCGGACACGGCAAAGCCAAGCACGGCTAGGCGTGGGAGGGAGTAAAAACTCCCCCGTTAGCTCAGGTCCGTGGTGTCGCTACACACCAAACGCCTGCTTGCGCAGGCGCCCCTGCGGGGACTCAGCACGTGTTATTGAAGAAAATAATGCCAACACCATTGCAATTACTGCGGAAGGCAGTGGTGGCATTCTGGCATTTGCGCTTCACAGTACATTGGTTTCTGCTCCTACACCATGGTTTCGGTTTAATTTCATCACTCCGCAAGAAATTGTCAATGGAAGCATTTTTTTTTTTTTTGAAAATTTCGAAGAGCCAATGAACTAGCTTTTCTCAGTAAGGACTTTGATTCTACCTCTTATTCAACTCGACCGCTTGTCTCTGCTCTTTAAATAGGTATTTTGAATTCCTTATTTGCTGCCTTAAATTATGGCATTGCTGATCTTTAAAAAGCCTGCCGCTAAGAAAAGGTAATTTCGAAAGCAGCGTGCGAATATCGCATTTTCCTTACTTCTGGGGATCTTCGGTCGACTTTCTTGAAAAGCCCTGGTATTCTAACTATTTTAAAAATGTGCCAGAAAATAAAACTGAAAGTATGTTCTCTGCCATAGTGTTTTGAAATTCAGGTCACATTGAGGGCTTTGTCGACCTCGGAGATCATACACCGGCTTACCAGAATAATGTGGTTGCGCATCACGGCGTGGTGGTGCTGGTTCAGCCATTCACTGGTGAGCAGACTTACGTTTCTTCCTTTTTTTTTTGTCTTTAGCTTCTGTGCAACAGCAATGTGAGGTGTGCACTTTCAGAGGGTACTTATGCAGGGAACTGGACACAGATCCTGGATGTCTTTGCCTCCAAGTCCAATGTGAAGTCCACGACACTGGCGAAAATCATTGTGGAAACAGCCATCCTAGCGGAAAAAGCTGGTTTATTTGTAGACTGCATAACGTGCGATGGCGCCAGCTGGAATAGAAGCATGTGGCGGCTCTTTGGCATACAGGGTGATTTTATTTCCCAGATATCCTCATTATTATTTTTACGATTGTGTTCTGCTTTAGTGGATGCACTAAATTTGTTTGTTTTTTTACAAGTTCTGATAAGGTAAGCGTCGACTTTTATTTTACGGGATGCACACTTTTTTTTACCAGGCTCTTCAAGCCATGTACGGAACAGCACCAAGCACCCAGTCGATCCGAAGGGGCCGCTGTTCTTTGTGTTGTATTTTCCACACTTACTAAAAAACATGAGAAATGAATTTATTGGGAAAGGATATCTGACACCAGCCGGACACGTCCACAGTGGCATCATTCAAGTAGCTTTCGAAGCAGACTGGGAAATTGTCACGCTGAAAGTGATGCCGAGCATTGCAAATGCACATATTATGCCAAACTGTTCTGAAAAAAAATTAAGGTGGACATCGCATTTCAGCTCCTCGGTGACCAGGTCATAAAGAGAATTTTTGTGTACAAGGAGCACATTCAGTCGACGTATCAGTCTGCGCAGCCGACTGTAGACTTTGTGGAAAGAATGAATCACCTGATTCGTGTCATGACGTCACGGACAAGCTAAAAAGCACTGAAGCCTGACACTCCTAACATGCACTTTCTGACAGGATTTCTTGAGTACTTGAAAGAGTGAGAGCAGCACGCAAAACCAGCCGGTGGTGGTTTTCTTAAAGAAAGCACAGCTTCTGGACTAAAAGTTACAATGAAGAGTACCCTTAATTTGTGGACCTACTTGAATCCACACTTGGCTTCAAATATCTTTTGACTTCCCGCCTAAGCCAGGATAAGCTAAAGAACCTATATTTGGCATAGTCAGACAATCATCAGGATGCAATGATGACAAGTTTCAGTTTCTCGTGACTGTAAATTTGCTAGCGTTCTACAACCTTGCAAAGCCACCCAGAGGAGGCAACTGCCCCCAAACGTCCTCAAAGCGCTGCTCAGCATAAATTAGTTCTCTGCAACAAGGAACCTTGTAAACAGGATAGATAGCCTCCTTGACCGTGGAAGCATCAATGCATGATGAGAATGTCATTCAGTCACTTTTGTCTAGTGACCATAAATCGTACACTGAAAAAAAAAAGAGTAACAGTGCTTTGATATACTATGCCGCAGGCTATGTTGCTCGAAGGATTATCAGCAAAATCTCTTGTACACAGTGTGCAGGCTGCCTTTGTGTAACTAAAGCTGAAGCAAGTGCCAACGCTGCTTCATACTTCCCTACATATTTCGACAATGGAGGTCTTGTGTATCCTGGTGAGAACTTATCAATCGCTGTAAAGGCCCTGGAAGACGCTTTCACTTGTTTTTTAGCAGAATCCTGCTACATGAAGCAAGTCTAGTTGAATTTTCAAGTCAGCTGCACACTATGGCCTTTCCTCAATTGGTATGCTCACAACATGAAAAGGCAGCTTTTGCAGCTGTTGTCAAGTTCTCTGTTGTCTCGAGGTTTCGTTTTTTTTTGTTTAAGGCATCAAAAAAGAGAGAGTGGCTTGGAGGGAATGGAAAAAACTACTTAAACTGCGCCGCTGCCAATAAATCTATTTTAATGATTGTTCTTCGTGTGCTCAATAAATGTCTAATTCTGCGTGTTGTTAAGTTTCAATTAAAATTTCTTACGTTTAAAATTTAGAATTTCAATGTACTTACTAATGTTAACCATTGAAAAAAAAAAAGGCTACACGTGTTTGGCATAGAACACCAGCAGCCATATTTACAGGCGATAGAAAATAGGCAGAGGGTGCAAAAAAGTCTCTTATAGACACCTCTCACTCCCCGAAGCTACAACACTTGTACCCTACGGAAACCACATAAGCGCTTCCGCCCACCCCTACCACCACCATAAAACATGTATTGCACCCTCCAAGACAGTTATAAAGGACACTTCCAAAGTGTGTTCGCCGAAAGCTTATGTCCATTTAGACGTGGTTTGTCTAGCTCTCTCAGCTTGCTTGAGTGGGCGGATTGTGGCCGGGATAATGGGGAGATACGTGCGCGCGGGAGCTATCCAAACAACTTGACGTGCTTCCCGAGACGTCTGATGAAGGAGCGCTGCCACGCGCGCCACTGTGACATCTTATGATTGCTGAGAAAGGATACGACCACCTTACTCTTACCACTCCAGCATTTCGTTCAAATTATGGTACAAATGATTAACCATGCGAAGATGAAACAGGCGGCCCCGGTGTCATCACGTTCTGTGACCTATCAAAGTACCCTCTGTTACAAGGTTTGATTTTTTTTATCACTATCTTTTATAAGTGTGCACCTCATACATTCGCTACGTTAGCTTATACGATATTAAGTACACCTAAATGCCTTTTTGGAGTGGTGCTTCATGCTGCGGTTGGTATTATTTCGAGCTAAATGTGCTGACATAGGCTACAGAGAAGCCAGTGCAAGTACGAAAATTTTTCGAAGCAGGGCATGCCTGCGTCCAAGGCACACCGCGGCCGTACACCGCGAGTAGGAGACATTAAAAGCTTTCGTCTTATAAACTCCGCCGACGTCATGTATAGCGGCACAATTGTGTTTCATTAAAATAAATTAGCCTACAGTTGCTTCACCGAACGAAATATTCCGCTTAAAGCATCAAAACGGGCAGCAGTTCCCTTGCCGATGCTTTTGAAACACGGCGGGTTATGAGAAGTGTGGCAGCTTGGGCTAGTTTGTATGACATGACGATACTTATAGCGCGAGAACAGAACGACGACAAAGAGACAAGAAGTCTTTCGTGTCCTTCTTGTCTCTTTGTCGTCGCTCTGATCTCGCGCTATAACTATCGTCATGGGTTATGAGAAGCGGGCGGCACGGGCGGCGCCACGGCACCCTCCCGCGCTGCAGCGCTCTATGCGGCAGCCATCGGCATTAATACAATCTGGTGCTATCTAGCAGGCCGTGTACAGCACACTAGCCAGTATATTCTAGGCACTATACTCCCACCACCTTTGCGGCCAGAACAGCCGGAAGCACCTTTCGGAAACTGCACGCAGCAGCCAGATTCTGGTGGTGTTTGGTCACGGTTTCGTGCGTAACATGTTCACTTCCGGATAACGCAGACTGCTGTGTCTTGGTCTGTCTTGGTATCTGCAGCGAAACATCAATCGGCGCGCGGCGGCGAGATGAGCTTCCTTTTGTAAGTTACTCCTACCTTCAAACGCGGACCTCCGTCGGTACCTTTGCATGCCTTTGTTGTCTGGAGTGGCTCTTGTAGCCACTCACGAGCTGCTGTTCTCAGTACGGTGGTGATTAAACTTCGCTTGATAGGCTTAGATCAGCTGAAGTTGAGCAAATAAGTCGCGAAAAGGCGCCTCGACATTCTGCTCCTACATTGTGTTGCGATTTGTAACGGAACTGCACAAGTACAACATGCTGTAACGTGGATGACGCGCGCGACGTGTAGCCAATGCCTCATCTGCGGGCTCGTTTTGGAGCGCATTCATGTTGCTTGGAAACGAAGCGAGCGGACTTGCGTGGTCGTTTGGTTATGATTACCGAATTACCGTCTCAGATGAGAACTGGACCAGACCTTTTCGTGACTGTATACCCATGATCACGGCAAGGTCTCGTACATCCTGTGTTTCCGTTTGCGCATTCCGAGGTGGTGTTCGCTTCGTACGCAATTCATACTTTCAGCGAACTTGTACCTTTACTGCAACATCTGACAATGTACTGTGTTTATTGTACGTGTAGTCACCGAATAAATGAAGGTTAAGTGCGCAAGCGAACAAACTGTTCGGGCTGTTTTTCGAGCACGTTGATGAAAACATTGTACCGAGTGCGAGCTACAACGATACGCGAAGGTCTGCTATTGAACTATTGACACGGTGTTTCATTCAATCTTGCATTTGAGCACTCTTTAAACTTGTCCCAAATTGCCTTGCATTCATTTGCCTTTCCGAATTCTTGACGCGTGTGTCACGATGCCTTTGAGACATTCTCTGCAACCGTAGCAATAGACTTAATAATTGGCGATATTTGTAAGTTTGCTTTGACCAACGTTCTTTTAGAATCGTTACGTTCAAGGCTGACAGCCAAGTGTCCTCGGATAAGATCCGCCATCTCCTCTCACGGAGCGCTTTCCGCATAAGGTTAAAAAGGAAAGCTAGGTTTTCGGCGTCTGTTGCGCGCGACACATGTAATCGCTCGCGTCGCTTTTCGTGCGACACCGCAAGGAGTTTTTGGCGGGCCGTTTCGGTGAGGAGTCATACGAGCGAAGTCAGTGTACGGTGACGTAAGGCCGCCTTCCAAGCTTCACGCAGACGACGTACGAAGCGCAAATGGTTAAGCCCTTTTCCTTACCACGCGCGGCCTTTGGCGGTGAAGCTAACTGTCCACATCACTGCTTGCCCATGAGCCGTGTGTGCGAAGACGATGCGGTGAACTTGCGCTGACCTGTGCCCGGCTGGCAGCCCGTTTTGTTGCCAAAAATAAGCCGGACGAGCGTTGACTCCTCCTCCCGTTCCATGCCGAAAGTAGGCGGCACCCGCTGTTAGCCGACGACACCGCAACATTTGTTGTCACGAGGACCTGTAGGCGGCAGGATGCGGTGCTGCATTTGGGAGTTCAGTGATCGCAAGTGCAGAGTGCACCCAACTGCTTTCCATTGTGCTGATGGCGTGAGCCGCGTGAACATTCGCCAAATACTTAACATTCCGAACAGCCTGCTGTACAGTGGTGGCACGTTTTCTGGACAATCATCCAGAGCATTCAGCCGTGGTTGAATGGCTTGGGGTTGGTGCAGTAGCATAACAAATCTTTATTCCATAAGTGGCATCTAGTGGCAATAATAAAACATTGTGGTTATGTAATCAGACTTCAAGGAAACCATGTACTTACATACATTGGTGGGGCTGCTGGGGAACCACTGCATGACCTGTTGTGCCATTAGTTGGGTTATGCGGTGGGTGTGCACCAGAAACATTCTTCACTTTTTGGTTTTGTGATGGTAAGCAACAAGTGTGACATGAGCAACATAGGGTGGGCATAGCTTTCAAATTAAAAAGGATGAAATACGTGGAGTTTTCATAAAGTTCATATTCCCAGCATGAAGAAACAGAGACAAATAAACATTTTAGCGAAAAATTTTTATTTCTGGGTATAATCTCCTCCAAATTTACATGCTTCTGCCTGGGATGCATGAGCTAGCGTAGACCATTAAAGTAGAAGCCATCTTCAACTCTTCAGACTTGAGAAATGAGTCAACTTCAGTGATGGCTTCTTCATTTGTCTCAAAGTGTTCTTATGAAGTGTACTCTTCATGCAAAGGAACCGAAGCAAGTCGCTCAGTCCGAGAAGATGTGAATGGGGCGGGTGAGGCAAAATGTTCAAACCTTAAGGTGGCTGCACGCGTCGCTGTCACCTGTGTTGAGTGCACCTGACTTTCCCAATTGGTGTTGCTGTTTCTGTTCTGATGCCATGGTGGGGTTGTGTGGTTTTAAAAGGAACAGAAATTTGATATTATGCGTATACTAGATAGATGCACACTCATTTTGATGCCTGTTGTGTATGCCTTTTATGAATCTATCGCATTGATTATACGAAGTTTATGGGCGTCCCTCGTATAAACTGCCTGGTAGAATGGCCAATGATAAGTGCTTATAGCAAGGCATGTGAAAAGTGCAGTCATAATTGAGGGTGGGAATAAAAAAGGCTGCCACATAGGTGCCTTTTCAGAATGTCAGACACCCCTTAATTATTGAAATTTGTGGGAGCTGTGAACATGCTTTTAATAGAATGTAAGTTAGTTGCATTTGTATCTATGCCTCCTTGCTTTATGTGCCAGTCAAGTCCTTTCACGGTATCCAGTAAGAGTGAAAACTTTTTCTAGTTACATATGCATCTAAATGCTTAACTATCTGATGAAGGCATTGACCATTAAATTTATGCTAGTCTGAATCTTTTCTCTAACCACAGTATTTAGCCTCCAAAGAAGTATTCCTTGTCTCTATGTTTCTGTATGTGTTTACTCTGTTTGGCTTGGAATGAGTGGTGCTGCTTTCTCCAATGCTCCTTATGGCTCCTTCTTATCCATATAGCCGCAGGCTGCGTGATACACGCTGCCCTGTGAACATGAGCCATAAGACGCCTGATAAGCAGTGCTCCGAATCTGTAAGACGATATGTCTTGCTATCATTAAGCTTGCCTCGCAACAGCTGACAGTTTCATTGTATAGCGGTTGGGCGTCTCATTTATTAGCTCATAATTGTGACTGTCTACAGAGACATTTAATGGAGTTTTCGCTTGGTTTGAACTTATTTTTTTTTCTTTGCTCTGCAATTGGCCGTATGAGTTGTTCAGATGTCCTTGGAGTTATTGGTATTTTTTAGCTGTTGGGATTTTGCAGGCAGAAGATTATTCAGGTAGAAACACATGTGGTTCATCCTGAAAAATTTATGTAAATTACTTAAAACCTTTAAAAAATTATTTTTATTATGTAGTCAAGGAACCACTAATAATTGATTTTGTAGCTTTATTTATGCACACACAAAATGAACATATTCTTTCTGCTGTTTGTTCGTTCCTTGTGGCGTTTACTTTAGGCAAGTCTTTTTTAACTTCATTGTCACTGAAATTCCATTGGTGTGGGCTAGTTCAGATTCATTTCATTTGGCGATTCAGTCATTTAAGGGTTTGGGTTCACGTTCCTAACATATTCGTTCAGAAGAAAGTTTCTAAATATAATATATTTAGGGCACAGAATTGTGTCCTATGGAGGAAGCAGCCATGGCAGGCGGCATACCAGTCTATTTGCCACACCAAAGGCGCTAAAAGTTCCAAGAAGTGAACATGCAGCAAAAAAATTAATGAACGTAGAGTAAGTCCATAAAGTATTCATGTTACTGATATGCAGCGATTCTGCATATATATATATATATATATATATATATATATATATATATTTATATATATATATATATATATATATATATATTTATATATATATATATATATATATATATATATATATATATATATATATATATATATATATATATGGCCTACTAATAACTTCCCTTATACTTTCCTTGGCATTATTGTCTGTTACATCTCATTAATATTGTGTCCAAACACTAAAAGACAAGCCCTTAAGTATACACTGGTTTATATATATATATATATATATATATAGGGTGATTCCACATCAGATTAAACAAAGCATGGTTGGTCGACCTCTTAATTTTTTTTCAAAATGTTATGTATTGTTCCTTCGTCAGTTGAAAGAACTGATCCGCAAATGGTTTTGCTGTAAAAATGTTTCTAACCGCAGTAAATTAAAAATGACAAAAATAGAGAGTGCCACGCTTATCTGCTTTGCTGTTTTTCCAGAGTTTCAGGATGGTTTACACAAAATATATGAAAGCTTTGTATCTCAACTTTTTTCGCGGGATAGTAGGTGTACTTGTGCTTGCGTTCAATTATATTTCAAATCTCTGAGTAGTACAGATTTTTTTTACAAAAACTCTGAAATTTGAAATTCGGCCTAAAAACTTTTTTTGCCAAGTTTACAGTCTTTTATTTAAAAAAAGGTCTATGAAAGAGCGGTGCAAATTCCGCATTACTTTCTCAGCATTTCTATTTATAAAACTGTCAAAGCTTATGTTAATAATGCTTTTCAATAAAATGAAATAATCACGCTAACTACAAGAAAAGAGCATACAAGGGAAACTTCGGATGACGATATAAAAAAGAAACCATTCTTGATATTCTCTATACTTTCGCCACTTATTCTCCTGCACATAATCTTTCACAATCATTAAAAACATGTTGCATTATATGGATTTACTTGCAGTTAGGGCCTGTGAAAAAGTGTCGTTGTGCTAGGATAGACAACGGTATATCGCACTTCTTGCCCGCTAAGTATGGAATGCAGGCCTATACTTCAGTTTCTTAAAAGGCAAGCAGCACTGAAATAGCTGTCGAGTGCGCCGAGAAGGCCAATTTCGAAATGGTGTGGTAATGGGAGCGACCATGACCACGGGATTAACGAGCAAGCAAGTGCCTGCAGTCTGGCGTGTTCCGGGGAAAAGGGGTTGTTCTCGTGTACTCGGACAGATAAGTTGCAATACAGCCGGGGATAAATTCCACACATGGGAATTGAAGGATAGCTATTTATCCGCCCTTTGCTCGCATAGC